CTGTGTGGCAGGGGCCCCTTTTCTTCTACACAGTTCTCAATTTAGCCTGCTTTTAAGTGAAAGCCAGAAGATAAAGGAGGAAAAAAGAAAAAGGTGAACTCAAACTTACTGGTACGGTCTTACTTCTTAAGCTGGGTATTAGGCATAAAGATGTTCTTTTTACTATTATTCCTTAGACTTTATTCTTACTTTATTTTGTATGAATGAACTACTTTGTACAGAAGGAAATGAGACAAACTAAAAGAAAATAAAAATCGAAAACCTGGCCCGTGACCATGGAAATTGGTCGGTCGGATTCTGATTGAAGCAAATGCAAAATTATTCTAGAGGGAACAATTTTATTATACTCTAGAATGTAAAGAATTTTCGGAAAAGAGAACTCCCACTGAAGATGAGCTGTAAATAAAAATTTATAAGCCATGAAAGAAAATAAACCACCATGAGACAGAGTTTGTTTATGTAGCAAAAGAGAAACAGCAACTTCAAAACAGAACAGGCTAGAATAATTTTGCATAAGTATGTTTAAAATAATTTAAGAGGCAAGGAAAGGTAAAGAAACTACAGTAAAACAAACAGTTCAGTTTTAAATAAGAGAAAACAGATTTGTAAAAGAACCAAATAAATATTCTAAAAATGATAATGTAGTAATTGGGATGAAAAAGTCAATGCAGATATTAAACACTGGATTAGCAAAGAATAGGAAGGAATTAATGAATTAGAACATAGATTTGAGGAAATCATCCAGAATTAAATGCAAAAAGATGAAGGGGCATAAGTCATATAAACACAGTTAAGAGATATGGATGACAGAATGAGAAATCAAAATATATGTCCAAATGAATGCTCCAAAAGTAAAGGATGGAAAAAACGAGGAAAGGCTGAATATTTATGAATTGGAGATTTTAGACAAAGAAAGCATATTGACTTCTGAGCAGGATAAATAAAACTAAACCATGTCAACAATTCTCTAACAATCTTCCATAAAATAAAAGAGGCAACATTTGCCCTTCTAATATTACCCTAATATTAGAAAAAAAACAGAAAAAGACATATAAGAATACTTTAGACCAATATCCTTCATGAAAATAAAATGTAAAAATCCTCAAAAATTTAGCAAGTTGAATCTAGCAATTTATAGAAAAGATAATGATGGCAGTGGCTGCTGCCATCATGCTGGCTGCTGCCATCATGCTGGCTGCAGTAGGGAGGCAAGGCTGGGACTGCAGATGCAGGCCTCCTGCTCCACAAGGCAGGCAGGAGTCTCACCCTCCTGGGCAGGTCTATAGCAGCTCAAACTACAGCTGAGGATCTGAGCCTCCATGTGCACTTGATGGGGGGCTGGGAGCAGGTAGGATGTGCCCTCCTGGCTGCTGCTGCAGCCACCTGACCAGCAGCTGCAGACCTGGGCCTCCCACTACATGGAGCACGCAGGAGCTGGTGACAAATGGGAGTCCCACCCCTTCCGAGTTGGCCTGTGGGAGCTCCCTGGGTGCAGCTGCCACTGCCCTCTCAGCTACAGGACCCAGGCATCTCTGCAGCCTGCACCCTCTGAGGCCTGGGAAGCCCCCTCCGCATCCTGCAGGATTGAGGTGTCTGCTCTGGCTGTCTGTCCTCTTTCCTTTCCTGGAGCTGGCTCAGATCACAGAGTGGGATTGGGGTCAAGTTCTGGGGCCATGAAGGGCAGCCAGAGACAAATAGATCCTTGGGCAAAAGGGAGCAGGTCCCCAATAAGGCACTACCTTCAGTCCAGGGAGGGCGTGAAGGCTGGGGGCAAGCCACCAGTGCTGCAGAGCAGTGTGGGGACTCATGGTGCCTCTTATAGCAGCCCATAGGCATCCATGGACCCATCACCATGCACTTCCTACCCTCTGAGGTCCATAAAAGTCCTGGGCTCGGCCAGAGCAGGGCAGAGGATGGCCAGAGGACAAAGAGGGTAGAGAGACTCTACATAAGGACCAGTTGCAAGAGGAGCTACCCTCTCCGCTAAGAGCTTCAGAGACAACCTGCCAGCAGAGAGGAGCCACCCTCGCCAGGGCCTCCTCTCCACTGGGAGCTGCAGACATCGGGACAACCAGTAGCAGAGAGGTGCTACCCTTTCCAGGGCCTTCTCTCTTCTGAGAACCCAATTCTGGAGAGATGACCTTCCTACAAAGAGGATCTACCCACTGTGGGTCTCCTCTTAACACTCAGTAAAGCTTATCTACATCTTGTTTACTCTTCACTTGTGTGCATATCTCATTCTTCATGAATTCAGGACAAGAATTTGGGCAAAGATGCTGCAGCCAGAGAGGTTTCTGGGCAGGAAATGGACACCCCAAAGCTCACTGACAATAACATGATCATGACCAAATGTAGTTAATTGAGGGAATGAAAGGTGGTTCAACACTTGAAAAACAATCATTGTAATACACCACATCAATAAATTGGAAGAAAAACCATATGATCATCTTCATAGATACAGCAAAAGCATTTGACAAAATGCAACATTCACTCATAATAAAAAGTCTAAGCAAATTAGAAATTAAACTTCCTTAACTTGCTAAAAGGTATCTTTTAAAAATCTAGAGCTAACTTCCTAATTGTTGTTGAAATACCCAATGTTTTCCCTCATAAATAGGAAATAAATCAAGGATTTCTGCTTTTGCCACTCTAAGTCAATATTGCAGTGGCAGTCTTAGCAAGTGTAATAACACTATAAGAGAAAAACAAGTCATACAGATTAGAAAGTAATAAATAAAACCGTGTCTATTTATAGTTTCACACGGAGATTTCAAATAGCATTAGGACCCACATATAGTCATTAAATACTTCTCAGTCAGTGTTGATAGTTATTAGTTAAAATTGTTGCTTTTATTAATATTTCATAAGAATAATAGAAGTCATAAGATATATTAATTTTTAAATAGTTTATAAGAAAGTTAAGAAATTCTATGGCTTTTCTCTTAAGCTAAATTGCTGAATTCTTTGTTTACCTTTTCTGAAAACTCTCTCATGCCCTCTGCTGCCCATTTATTGAACATAAATCATTAAATAAAATATTCCTTGACATTTACATCTAGATGGTAAGAACTCCTCTGCCCATTTGATTATTTGAGTCAGTTTTAGGAAACAATATATGCTCAGAAATGCTTTAAAATTCTTATTATAAATGTAATATATTTTCACTATTGATAACACACAAAAATTACAGTAACCACTCATCGTATCACTGCTTAAAGATAACCACTGTTATCAAGTGGCATATACCCCTCTGAATTGTTTCCATAAAGTATAATTTGTATTTAAATTTTTTATTATTATTACACAATTGGGATCATACTGTACATGTAATTTTGTATCTGCTCTTTTCACTTTATATATGGAATATTTCCCATATCAAAATATAATGTTTAACTTGTTGCATAATATTTCAGATATATACTAATTTATGTAATACTCTCCTATTTGGGAGCATTTAAAAAAATTTATTTTGAGACAGAGTTTCACTCTTGTCGCCCAGGCTGGAGTGCAGTGGCACGATCTTGGCTCACTGCAACCTCCGCCTTCTGAGTTCAAGTGATTCTCCTGTCTCAATCTCCTGAGTAGCTGGGATTACAGGTGCCCGCCACCACAGCCAGCTAATTTTTGTATTTTTAGTATAGACAGCGTTTCACCATGTTGTCCAGGCTGATCTCGAACTCCTGATCTCAGGTGATCCACCTGTCTTGGACTCCCACAGTGCTGAAATTACAGGGATACGCCACCACACATCACCAGGGAGCATTTAAATTGATGCAATGGCGCGATCTCAGCTCACCGCAACCTCCGCCTCCTGGGTTCAGGCAATTCTCCTGCCTCAGACTCCTGAGTAGCTGGGACTACAGGCATGCGCCACCATGCCCACCTAATTTTTTGTAGTTTTAGTAGAGACGGGGTTTCACCATGTTGACCAGGATGGTCTTGATCTCTTGATCTCGTGATCCACCCGCCTCGGCCTCCCAAAGTGCTGGGATTACAGGCTTGAGCCACCGCGCCCGGCCTTCATTTTAAAAACTAAATAGACAGGTCTAGGTGACACAGATAAAGCAGTGGTGGAATCAGGAAAATAATCTGACCCTTGTCTCTTCTCTTTCCACCGCACCACGGTGACTCTCTTTTATGTGTGTGTCTTTTTTTTAAGACTCTACAACAAAACTGAGGATCATTTGTAGATAAAGAGATCAACGCTATTCTCAAAACAAGTTCTGATCTCTCATAATTGTCTTGGTAACTCAGAATCAATGTTAAGAACGTTGAAATAAAAATACAGTACTTTACATGGTAATTTTGTAGACTGTGCACCATGTTCCCATCCATTTTCTTACTTGATCCTTAACAAAAACCCTTTTTGAGGCATGGCAAGGAAATTATTAACTTCATTTTTAAAGTGAGCAATTAAAACTCTAAGGTTAGGAAGGAGCCAATACTCTATTCCTATATTTGGAATATTGGAGGGAGTACACCTCCAGTGAAGCAATTCTGTCCAAAAGCACCAATATGGCTCTTTACTCTCTTGTCAAGGCATTCTCCATCCCGTGGGGACGCCCCCACTAGGTTAGTGAAGCGTGCGTCTTGACATCCATAGAGGTTACTCCTAGTTTGCACCTAGTTGTCATCTTTAGAAGCGCAGTTTCTTACCCCTTCCCTTGGTCCTGATCCTTATTTAGGCTTCTATTTTCCTCTTTGGGATTTGGCCTTCTGGGTCTCACTCAAAAGCTCCACCTCTCCAAACAAGAAGTCGCGTCCTTGGTATCCAAGGTGACCACGCAACTTTACCCACGTTGTCCTTTCCGCGCCTTCCATTGGCCAGTTGGACTCCCAAGAACCGCCCCTCCACTGGCCAATGGTCTTGAGGCAAAGGGCGCGCGCCTTTCCAGCGAGTCTAACACCTGCTTTCTTACCCGGTCTCCTCTGCGCATTGCCTCCTGGGATATGTGGTTTCTAAGACGCCAGAGCTCTGCGATGTTTCAACCTTTAGAACTACTTATCCCTTCGACCTTAGCGAAAGGGACGGGAGTAGGCAAGAAGTCCGGGTCAGAGTTTAGAGCTTTCAAATTCCAACTTGCCCCTGAGGATTGAGCGGCGGATCTTTAAATAGCCTCCAGCAAGGGAGCTAGTGCTTGCTTCATTAAACCCTGACAGACGTCTCCTGTTTCCCTGGAGACATCACAGCGGCCAAGTCGATTGGCCGTGGCAAGTGACCCTGCCTGTGGTTGAAGTGTTCTGAGGACCGGCGAGAGAGGCGCGCCATGCTCGCCTCCTGCTCAGGCTGGGAGCTTGGCTGCCTTAGTCTCCGTCAGGTCCGACTGTGGGCTGGCGCTGGGCGCTGGGCTTGCCGGGCTTGCCAAAACAGGCCGTACGGCTCAGATGGGGGCGAGCGCTGGCCAGGATCGGAGGCTGAGGTCCCTCCGCCTGGCCCGGCGCGCCGGACTCTGAAGGAGTGGACGCTGCAGGTGAGCCCATTCGGTCGGCTGCGGGCGCGGCTTCCGTGCCACCTGGTCGTGAGGCCCCTGGACCCCCTCTCCTACCCGGATGGCGACCGCGTGCTGGTCGCGGTGTGCGGCCTGGAGGACGGCGCGCGGCGGGTCCTTGATAGCCTGCTGGTGAAGTACGACGAGACTCTGGAGGAGATGGCCATCGTGTCTGATAGTATCGACCCCCAGACGTCCGTGGAGGTGAACGCGCCCCTGAAGTTTGGCAAGTAAAGTGAAAACGGGTTTGGGTCCCAGGGCACGCACAGTGAACTTATTAAATTTGGTCGACGTGCACTTTTAATTGATCCTGGTTTTCTAAACCTAATTTACAGTTGGCCCCTTTGGAAGTGCACCTTTTCCTCTGTTCTATTCTTGAGTATCCGAGCAGTATTTAAAAATTAGGTTCCCAATTATAGAAATTTTATCCATCGAATGGAAACATGATTTGGTATAATCCAGGTCAAACTACATTTGTGGAGCCGCTTGTGTTCTCCTTTATCCCGTTGTCATTAACAAAGTGGCTTATTTTTCAAGGTTGAGGTTTCTTGACAATCCATTCAATGGTATGGCAGTCCATTTACATTTCCTCTTGCTCACAGCCTGGGAGTCTGTCCCAAAACAGCCCTGTCAATATGTTCCATGTATCACCTGGTTTGAGTATTTGGTTTTAGACAGACGCCTAGCTTTTTACTGTTATGTTTCCATCCCTTTTGGCCTAAGTTTTCCATGAGTAGCAAGCTTTGAAGAAAAACATGTGGTAAGCCTGCCTAGGAAACTTCAATAGTAATGGTACAAGATACGTTTCCTAGGTTTTTGGGTTCTACGTTATTTCCTAAATGGCAAGGCACTGTGTACACACACTTTTCTAGGAAGGGCTCCCCAGACTGTCACTCTTCCTGGGACTGAAGGAAGATATTGATGATGATGATGATGATTCATTCTTCCTGGGACTGAGGGAAGGTATTGATGATGATGATAATGATAACATTTAGCATTTTTAAGATCATCTTTTATAATGCCTACAGTTGCACCAAAAAGTAGATGCAGTAGCCCTCCCTCCCTTATGCACCGTTTGGCTTTCTCAATTTGTTACCTGCCTCAACTGGTATAGGAAAATATTAAGATATTTTGACAGATCACATTCACATAACTTATATTAGAGTATATTTTTATAATTGCTCTATTATTGTTAATCTCTTACTATGCCTCGTTTACAAATTAAACCTGATAACTGATATAACTGATATATATATAAGAAAAAAACATAGAATATATAGGATGTGGTACTATCTGTGGTTCAGGCATGGTGGGGTGGGGTGGGTAGGTCTTGTTTAGTGTAAGAGAAATAATCAATATGTGAATTCCAAATTAAATATCAGTTTTTAATTTTTAAAATTTGTATACAGAGATGCCTGCAGTTACATCTTAAATAGACAGCCAAGGATGGCATTTGTGATTCCTTATTTTCCAAACTTTCTTCATATACCACTGTCTTTTGTCCACAATCTTGTGGGGGTTTTTTGTTTGTTTTGAGACTGGGTCTTACTCTGTCACGCATGCTGGTATACAGCAGCGTAAACATGGCCCACTGCAATCTTGACTTCATGGGTTTAAGCGATCTTCCCACCTCCGCCTCCTCAGTACCTGGGACTACAGGTGCATGCTACCATGCGTGGCAAATGTTTTTATAGAAATGGAATTTTGCCACATTGCGCAGGCTGGTCTGGAACTCCTGGGCTTCAAGCAATCCTCCTTCCTCGGCCTCCCCAAGTGCTGGGATTACAGGCATGGTGTAATCTTGTGGTTTTAATAGTATATATGGCCTAATCTTGTGGTTTTAATAGTATATATTATGTTTTTCAAAGTTGTTCCTATTTTTAAAAATTACTTCAAATATGTTGTGATATAGCTGCATGGTAGTATTTTCATTTTTTAGGTATGAAAGGTTAGACATAGGATTTGAAAACCTAAGTCATGATCATTTATCCTGGGGAAGAGGCTTCTGCAATCTTTCATAGGAGAACTTACCAGAATTGCAGTCTCTTATTTCTCTTTAGATTTTTTAGGCCAGTAGAAATAACTGCCCTATTTCTAAAAACTGGCAGAAAGGCTATTGTATTTGGTCCTGTTGCCATGGTAGAAGACTCCTTACCTTTAGAGTATGCCCTTTCCAGGATTCAGTAATGTTATGGACATAACTGAGGACCTGGATTTCTAGGGGTACTAAAATGCTTTTGAGCTTATAAACTACAGTACTAACTTTTTTTTTTTCTTTTTTTACTTTTAGGTTTGGATATCAAGTCATCTGGGTCGGGCTGTGTAAAAGTTCAAAGTATCGAGTGTGATAACTGTAAAATTGAAACTGAGCAGGGAACCAGCGTCCTGCAGTCTGTTAAGGTATAGCATTTTTCTAATTTTATTTCACTATTTTTTTTAAAAAACCCTTACACTATGAATTATGCTATCAAACTGAAGAGATTCTTCTATTTCTCAGAACATGGTCATTTATTCATCTCTCAGAAAGTCCTTGGCAAACATTTTGCCCTGAAATCAGTTCTAGTAGAGTACTGAGGTTGTAGCAGTTTTGAGGATTTTGCCTCAAATTTCTTTTTGATTTCATTTCAAAGTGTATAGTGAAACTAACAGTATTTTCCTAGTATTCTGAAATCTTACTAAATAAATTTTAGTTTTCATGAATGATTTTCTTCCATTTTATTAAAGAGTAAGGAATAATCTTTATGTACTATAAATGTGCTTAAATATTAGATTACTTTAATCACATTTTTAATGTACCAGTTAGTGCATTACTTAAGGACTAAGTAGTTATCTGTGCAAAGTGACATATGATTCATCTTGTTTTGTAATTAACATTTTTATAATTATTATTATTTTTTTTGAGACAAGGTCTCACTCTGTCAGCCAGGCTAGAATGCAGTATGTGATCTTGGCTCACTGTAGGCTCAACCTGCTAGGCTCAAGGGATCCTCCCACCTCAGCCTCCCAGGTAGCTGAGACCACAGGTGTGCACCACTATGCCTGCCTAATTTTTAAAAAATTTTTTTTATAGAGACAGGGTCTCACTCTATTGCCCAGGCTGGTCTTGAACTTACGGGCTCAAGCTATCCTCCCGCCTTGGCCTCCCAAAGTGCTAGGATTACAGGTGTGAACTACCATGCCTGACCTATATTTAATTTTTTAAAGATTAGACTGGTGTCAGCTATAAATAGTTTGAAATCCTCTCTGATAGGTTCTAGCTTATCATTACTCTTACTGCTTCTTACATTTGCATAGTCAAAACTTGATACTTTTGTAAACTTTGAAAGCATGAAGTTTTGTTGAAGTCAGTCATCTTTGCTTCATAATATTTTCATTTTTAGATTTCCAAACACTAGTTAAAATAATTTGATCCATTTTTTTGCATTTTTTTCTTTCATCCACCTTTATTTGCATATATGCCATTAGCATCTGTCTGTATATGAATCATTTCAAACAAATTTAGTAGCACAAATATCATAAAAGATTAACATTACCATCACATCCTTTTAGCAAAATGAGTTGGTTCAGATTCTTGTTGTAAAAGATTGTGCAATAAGGTCTTGATGTTGAATGACTAACTCGGTGAGGATATCATAATTCCTTTTTGTCCTTAGAAATATTTTGTTCAGTCATTGATACTTAAGTTTCAGAAAACTGATCTAGACTGTTGACCTCTGAAGACCCAAGAGTTTGAGATTTCCAATTGCACAATCAAAATTAGAATCTAGTATACTGCTGTCTGTCTCTACATTTATGTTTTGATTAATCTGATTGTTCTGAAAGATCTTTCTCTGTTGATTTTCTTCTTTGCCATTGTAGGCTTAAAGATAAAAATAGTTTTTTAGCCTTGGCACTATAAAACTTTTTGGCTAGATAATTCTTTGTTGTGGAACCTGTCCTGTGCAATATAAGATATTTAGCACCATCTTTGGCCTCTATCTTCTAGATGCCAGTAGCATGCTCCTCAGTTGTGACAAGGAAAAATATCTCCAGACATTGTCAAATGTCTTCTGGGTACAAAATGATCTCCAGTTGAGAGCCATTGCTTTATACAAGTCGATCATTCTCCTGTTTTCTTCTTATTATTTTTTTTAAACATCGTTGGGAATAATTTATGAATATAATGATGACATAACTCCTAGGATGATGTATTAGCAATATGTAATAAAACATATAAAAAATAACAACACAGGCCGGGCGCGGTGGCTCAAGCCTGTAATCCCAGCACTTTGGGAGGCCGAGGCGGGTGGATCACGAGGTCAAGAGATCGAGACCATCCTGGTCAACATGGTGAAACCCCGTCTCTACTAAAAATACAAAAAATCAGCTGGGCATGGTGGCTCATGCCTGTAATCCCAGCGACTCAGGAGGCTGAGGCAGGAGAATTGCCTGAACCCGGGAGGCGGAGGTTGTGGTGAGCCGAGATCGCGCCATTGCACTCCAGCCTGGGCAACAAGAGCGAAACTCCGTCTCAAAAAAAAAAAAAAAAAAAAAAAATAAGAACACTATTATCCCATAATGTATTTTAGATTTATAAGAGTCCAGTGGACCGATAATGATAATTACAAGATAGAATGAGTTTTTGTTCTACTTTTTTAAAAGTAAGTACATTTTCTATTTGTTCCTTGAAAGAGCTCTAAGAAATAATAGAAATCATGAAATATTAGTTCCTACAAATGAAATAGCTCAAAACAAGAAATTCAAGAACTAAAATTAGGCCTATGGTATACTAAGGGTTAAGAGAATTATCCTTGAGATCTTAGGATTTAACTAACTTAAATTCACAAATCAGAACATTTTGGTAAAATGTTTAAGTTTTAAGTATTATATAATATCATTACCTTGAATTAGTGATCACCTGTTAATGTTTATCTTCCACTAACTTAAGGACTTGAAATATAGTTGATCTACATAATAATTTTTTTTTTTTTTTGAGACAGAGTCTTGCTCTGTCACCCAGGCTGGAATGCAATGGTACGATCTCGGCTCACTGCAACCTCCGTCTCCCAGGTTCAAGTGATTCTCCCACTTCAGCCTCCCAAGTAGCTGGGATTACAGGCACCCACTATCATGCCCAGCTAATTTTTGTATTTTTGTAGAGATGGGGTTTCAGCATGTTGGCCAGGCTGGTCTTGAACTCCTGACCTCAGGTGATCCGCCCACCTCAGCCTCCCAAAGTGTTGGGATTACAGGCATGAGCCACTGTGCCTGGCCCTACGTAATAAAATTTTTATAGCAATAATAATAACTACTGTTAATAAGTCCTTATTATGTACCACAAATCTTAGCTAAGCCTTCATTTAGTCCTTGAATTTTCTCCATTTTATCAAGGAAGAAACTAGAGGGCGCCAAGAGATTGAGGAACTCACGAGTTCACATAGCTAAAAAAGACTGAGCTGGGATTTGACCTCAGATCTTTATGATTTCCAAGCTCATGCTCTTTCCACCTTTCTTTGTTGTTCAAAGAAAACATATGATAAGACCACATTTGTACAGCATCCTGAGGGAATAAGATAAGTGAATTTTTTAGGCAATAGACCCTTACCTAATTGAATTTCATACATTTGCATTTTTTAAATGCAATATAATTTATTTTCTAAATAATTTTTGATTTATTTAAACATTTAACTATTTGGTTTTATGTTTTTAAAAATTCTATAATCAACTTCACACTTTTGGGGGAATTAGATGAGCCTTAAATTCTAACAGTAGCTCTTACTATTTTTGAACCTTTGACTTCTTAGAAAATCTAATAATTGTCTTCTTAAAAAAATGCACATGTATATGAAATTTTGCTTACAATTTTATGAGTTCATGTGAGCTTGGTTAAGAGTTCTTGATTTAAAACAACAAGTGTGCTCCTCCTGTCACCCAAGATGCTGAAAGGAAAGAAAGCCAAGGGGAAGAAGGTGGCTGCAGCCCCTGCTGTCATGAAGAAGCAGGAGGCCAAGAAAGTGGTGAATCCCCTGTTTGAGAAAAGGCTTAAGAATTTTGGCACTGGACAGGACATCCAGCCCCAAAGAGACCTCACCTGCTTTGTGAAACGGCCCCACTATATCAGGTTGCAGTGGCAGAGAACTATCCTGTATAAGTGGCTTAAAGTGCCTCCTGCAATTAACCAGTTCACCCAGGCCCTGGACTGCCAAACAATTATTCAGCTACTTAAGCTGGCCCACAAATACAGACCAGAGGCAAAGCAAGAGAAGAAGCAGAGGCTGTTGGCCCAGGCCAAGAAGAAAGCTGCTGGCAAAGGGGATGTCCCTACTAAGACTACAGGTCCTTTGAGCAGGAGTTAACACCATCACCACCTTGGTGGAGAACAAGAAAACTCAGCTGGTGGTGACTGCACATGACATGGATCTCATCGAGCTGATTGTCTTCCTGCCTGCCCTGTGTCATAAAATGGGGGCCCCTTACTGCATTATCAAAGGAAAAGCAAGACTGGGACGTCTGGTCCACAGGAAGATCTGCACCACTGTTGCCTTCCCACAGTTTAACTTGGAAGACAAAGGAGTTTTGTCTAAGCTGGTGGAAACTATCAGGACTAATTACAATGACAGATATGATGAGATCCATCGTCACTGGGGAGGCAATGACCTGCATCACAAGTCTGTGGTTCACCTTGTCAAGCTTGAAAAGGCAAAGGCTAAAAAACTTGCCACTAAACTGGGTTAAATGTACACTGTTGAGTTAAAAATAATTTTTAAAAAAATTTTAAAGTGCTTTGGGGATAATCTTTTCAAAGGTTTAATCACATATTTTGTTGGGAAAAATAGCAGAGGAGAAAGGACTTACAGAGTGCCTACATAAATTGGTTATAAGTAACATATAAACAAGGAACAACAAACTGCAGGAGGTCTCTGAGGAGGAAGGCCTCTTCATGTTCTGGTACAGGGTGACCTAGTCTCTATTACCATTAACATTGTGCCCAAGGATGTAAAACCCCTTCATAGCACTATGACATAGCCAGACTTGTAGGCTCCTTGTAAGGTCCGTGTTCCACCAGCTGTATATAGATAATAAACTAAAGATAACCACATGTTCTTGTTTTGCGAAACTCCCAAACCGCCACTGTTATCAGTCCTTAGGATGATACACCAGTTCCGGCTCACTGATTCAATTCCAGCTCACTGATTCATCCCACCATCACTACACCCCTACCCTGTAGATCAAAGTAATTATAATCAATAAATAGTGTGGATGATCAGAGCTCGGGGCCTTCACTGTTACCTGCAGAGTAATGAAGTGATGGCCCCTTTTTCTCTTAATCTGTCTTTCATTTCTTTGTCACCACCAAACTTGGGGTACCCATGGGTGATGCAGCACTGGCTCCCTACAATATTTGATAAGGAATATATTAAATATAATTTGACTTCAGACTCATGTCTCTAGGCATAACATAGTTAACTATGCGATAATACTTTTTTTTTTTTTTTTCTTTTTAGAGACAGGGTCTTGATGTGTTGCCCAGGCCAGAGTGTAGTAGCATGATCCTAGCTCACTGCATCCTCAAACTCTGGGCTCAAGCAGTCCTCCCAATAGCTGGGAAATACAGGCATGTGCCACCATGCCTGGCTTTTTTTTTTCTCATTTGTTTTTAGAGACAGGGTCTTCTTATATTGCCCAGGCTGGTCTCGACCTCCTGGCCTGAAGTGATCCTCCCACTTTGGCCTCTCGAAATTCTGGTATTACAGGTGTGAACCACTGCACCCCAGCCCAGATCTTTTTAAGAATGAGTAATTTTGTACTGTTCACTAAATTTTCTGAAATTCACTCCTGGGCTATTTTGCCTAAGGTTTTACTATTTTTCCTCCTAAGTAAAACAACTAGAAGCCATATAATTGTTTTGAATTTTTGTCTCCCTGCTTTTTAGATATTTCTCTGCAGTTGCTGGTCATGATATTGGTGAGTTTCCTTTGTTATTTTTCTTCCTCTGCAGCTTCTGCTATTTACCCCTTATGTCTTTATAATTGTAACAGAACTAAAGACATATATAATGATTAAAGAAAAATAAACTACTCTAAAAAAAATAGACCAAACATCTAATGGCTTGTATATAATTTGAGTTTATTTCTTACTTGTGTTGAGGTGTGTGGGTGGGTTTTTTTCATTCAGCGATTCTAGGTTCCTTACAACTTCTGGCTCTGCCATCTTTTAGAGCCTTGTTATACTCTGGCCCCACTTGGTGGAATGAGAAGAGCACAGAGAAGGCACACTTGTTCTTTTAAAAGCACCAACCTGGAAATGGCATATAGCATTTCCACTTACGTTCTGTTGGTGAGAACTTAACACTTAAGAGGTAAAGGAAGCTGGAAAATGTGGTCTTGCCATAGGTCAAGCTATACTGCTTTTACTTGGGCAAAAAAAAAATGGATTTTTGTGAGCCAATAATAGTGTTTACTGTAGTTCCCAAGTCCAAAATCAAGACACACACACACACACACACACACACACACACGCACACACACACACACTTTTTGTTTTCTGTCTTGCAGAAGAGGCTAACTGGCTTGTGACTATTGTTTTGTGCTTGGAGGCATTTTTACTTAGTTACAGTTTCTGGGATGTGTTGTGCTAGAAGGTTTAATTGGGCTGACCACTCCAGCCTTAAGCATGTGGGCTTTGGAATCATACAGAGCTTGAATCTAATTGTTACTTTAGATTTTTTTTTTCTGTGTCACCCTGATAAAGTGATTTACCTTTCTGAATTGTGGTATTATTCCTCTCTAAAATGGGAAAAATGTAATACTTATCTCTCTGGTTTGTCATGAGGATTAAATGATAGTTCATGTGAAGTAGCTAACATGGTGTCTAGTGCAGAGAAAATGCCAAGTAAGTGATAACTGTTATTGTTATTAATAATGATGAATAGTAACAATGATTATTATTGTCATCTTCATCATTGTGGATATTTAGTTAGCTGATCACAGTGATTTTTGATTCCCAAGTCCTTCTTCAGTGAAGCTACCAGAATAGCCAAGTATCTCTTCTTTTGCCAGGTGGCTTATTTAATCCCTGTAACAGCAGTTGACATTTTTTTCTAGTTGACGTCATTCGAAGCAGTGAGTTTCTGTTTTATTCCTTATTCTTTTGTTGCTTTGTCAGTATTAATACAGAAATGTTGAAATGTTTCACTAGTGTAAGTCAAACTTACTCTCTTTTTCACTATATGTATTTTTAAAATTTGTCTTTCAGAGTCAACAATTGCATGTTCAAACAAAAGGAGGCAAAGTGATCTGTCTGGGAACAGTTTATGGAAATATAGATATTCATGCATCAGATAAAAGTGTAAGTAATTGCAACTTTGCTTCCATTTGGCTTACCAAGTGGATAGGTTCTATGAAGTTCGTGGTGTAACATTCCCTCTTTAATGCATTTTAATTCAAAAATAAATTCAAATTTGAAATTGAAGTGATTAAATAATATACAACTTAGGCTTTAGTTTGTGGTTTAATACTTTTGACAGTTAGTTCCTAGTCTGGAATCAATAAAAAATGCTTAATATTTAACTAACTCTGAAAAGATTTTTATTTTTATGATCATAGATTAAAATAGATTAAGTAATATCACCAGTAACTGGATTGGATTTTTCTTGTGTTAGGTTTATTTAAGTATTTTCTAGGACCTTTTACTTCACCCTTAGGCAAACTGAAGGATGTTTCAAAACTCAACTTTCTTCAGTATTTTCCACAAGGTGGCACCATTAGATAGCTTTACTGCTTTCTCAGAGCTTTTTTTAAAAGTAGCTATTGGGATTTTAGTTGTTACAGAAAGATGGTTTGTATTTTTTAATCAACCCTTTTTGTAGCCTTTGGTTATTTAGCATAGTATTAAAAGCAAAGGTAAAATTTTGGAATTATAAATTGTAATTTAAAAACATGATTGATAATGTTATATCTTTGGGGAAAAGTTTCATTTTATTTTACACTTATACAATTTGCAGGAGCCTTTTTGTTTCTTATAAATTTGTTAAATTTCATAGTCAGCTTTACTTTCAGATAATTGGTGGGGACGAGTTGCAAGCATATTTTGTATGTAGATTATTGTTGGCATAATTAAACAAGATAGATTATAGCAGTAATTGTTTCTGTTTTTTTAAATCTTCCATCACCTTTCTCTTAGGCCCCATGGGAGGTTGTTTAAATCTAAACATTTAAAATACTCTGTAAATTAAACTAGGAAAGTGTTGAAAGATACTGTGTGACCTTATGCAGCAGCTTTTTGAGATGGCATTTAGTTTTACTTCTCAGATTGCTATAATCTTGGAGGTGCAAGATGGAAGTTAGACAAGTTTGCAGCCCCTTCAAACTCAGTAAATGATGGCTGTTATTGAAATGATATGTTACTAAAATATTACAACATTTACAATGAAATATAAGTATCAGAGAATGTAATATCTCAATCATTTGCTACTTTGAATATTTTGGCCACTGTTTCCTCTCAGTTATTTATTTGTTGCAACTTTTATGGTTTATTGAGTATTCATGTATTTTACTTGACATTATATAATTTTATTTATTGATTGAGTTTTGTTAAGTACTAAAGAATCAGTCTAGGTTTTTTTTCTATTTGTATTACATATAGCATTGATTTTTAATGTATATTTCTAAGTTTGTAATTTTTATAAAACATATAAAATAAATACTTGTGAAATCTATTAACTTTTAATATACAACTTTCATAGAAATGTGATTTGGATATTTGAGAGACAACATAATGAATTAGCTAAGAGCACAGAACATATGAGAGCCAAACTACCTGTGTTTGAATTCTGGCTCAACCATTCACTAAGCTCTATAACTGGACAAAGTACTTAACCTTTGTGTGTCTTGGTTTTTTTGGAAAATGGGATAATAGTAATAAAACTAATTCAAAAAAATCCTCTTTTAAGAGGATTAAATAAGTTAATACAGGTAAAGCACTTAAAACAATGTCTGGCACATAGCTAAGTCTAATGGAATAACACAATGATGATGATAAAGGTAAAGGAATCACAGGAAAGATAACTTGGCCGGTTCTAGACCTACCAGTTAGCTTCCCTGAGACGCAGTTTCATTGTTCAGAAAACAAGATGGTAATACTTGCTTTGTCTACTTAACAAGATTGTGAGAATCAAATGAGCACTATAAATAAAGCATCATTATTCTACATGTTGTTTTTCTTTCTTTTTTTTCTTTTGCCAGTGCCAATGGTCAGTAATACCTGGTGTTTTTTAATTGTTTAATTTCAGTATCTAAGTTTAGTTTTCTAACTTAACAGAGAACACAGAAACCCATTTCATCTGTCTATTTGGTGAGTCGATGACATAGTTTTCCTCTCAATCTGGGCTACAAAGCCACAGTACTTCCTTAAAACTTGGTTTTCATTATTTGTAAGAACTATGTATAATATATGTATATATATATATTCATAATGACTAAGTTAATGAAAATTTTTTCTTTTCATATAGAAAAGAAAATTTATAGCAATACCTCTGTCAGGAAGGTATTGATTTTTAAATGTACTTTTTGTTCTGTCATTAAATAGGTAATTTAAATTCCTTCCATTTAGTTTGGTGGAAAGCTACTGTGTTATTAGATGTCAAGTTGAAAAGTTCTAGAAATGATAGTATATTCACTATATTAACATACTAACGGAGAAAAATCATGATAGGTCAATAGAGTCAAATAAAGTATGTGCTAAAATTCAAAAGCCATTCATGATTTAAATAGCAAAATTAATAAAACAAAGTTGAAATAGAAGGGAATGTCCTTAATCTGATAAAAATTATTTTAAAAATATCTATAGCAAACATCATGCTTAATGGTGACACGCTGTAAACTTTTCTTTTGAGAACAGGAATAAGACAAGGATGCCTGCTGTCCCATTGCTTCTACTAGCCGCTATTCACTGTTGAATTGGAGGCCTGAGACAGATGGTTAAGGCAAGAAAATAAAGAAAAAACAGGAAAAAAAGTATCAATATAAGGATTGGAAGGGAGGAAATGAAGCTATCACTTGTAGACAGTATAATTACACATATAGAGTTTTTAAAAATACAGATAAATTATTAGGATTAGTGAGTTTAAGGAAGTTGTTGGATTAAGATCAATTACAAAGTCAATTAGGATCAAATGAAATTTTAAAAGATACCTTGCACAATAGCACTTAAAAATATATATAAAAGGAATAAATCTAATAAAAGATTAAGAATTTTTTATAGACCATATAAAACATTATTAAGAAAAATTAAATGAGACCTAAGTCAATGAGGGAATATGTTAGATCTATTCCATATTCTACAGAGAATGCACTATTGCTCACACTCTTAGAATTACAGGTAGGGAATCAGAGTCAATAAAGTGATTGTGTACTAGGTAGTAACATTTTGTGTAGTTACTCACCAATTCCACAGGTAGCATTTTGGCTTTTTACCAGTCTTTGTTTTACAATGAACTGATTAGTCTTTCTCTTACTAGGCTGTGACCATAGAT